AACCTGGCTTATTTAGGCTGCGGCCCTGCTGCTCCTCCCTTCCTTCTTCTGTCCTCTGTTTCCAGCCTTGCAAGAAGTCTATTCAATTAGTCCTGGCCGCTTCTCTCATTTTTTTCCTCCCGTTTCCAAACAAGCCCTCAGTGAACATCATTGAAGCGTGACTGCCTGTCTGCAGGGAGGATTCCATTTTTTTTTCTCAGCTGGTCCCCAGGCCCATGGGCACAGGGAGAAGGATGACTGCAGCAGAGGGGCGGAGGCACAGCTAGCTATACAGTTCTCTCTTCTCCTTGCCCTAGTCAGATGAAGGAGGCTGAACTACAAACCCAAATTCCGCACAAAAATAAAAATAAGCCACAAAACTAAAAGGCCTGGCCCCATTCTGGAAAAGATAAAGCTGCATGAGACACAGCCTTCTGCCTCCTCGCCTCTCCTGGACTGGTTTCCTCTTTGAGAAAATGCACAAAGCCCTGGGAGATGACAAGCACAAGGACTGACTCAAGCTGTGTCTTTCAGACCAAGGAACTTCAGAGAAGCTGTGGGGCTGCCTGCCATGCAGGATCATGGCTGCCATCAAGCCTTTTCTGGATCCAGCCATCAAGGACATGTTTGTGCTGTGATGCACACCTTTGCAAGTGTGTAAGATGTTACCTGGTTTGTCTCTTTTGGCAAACAAAAATCAGAGGGCTGCACTCTGGAGGGCAGAGACTCCCCCGAGGACTGAGCTGGTTGCCTGCATCCTCTATCTTCGTTGACCCTTATGACTATAAGATCATCAGTTTGGGGTCTTAGGAAGACCTGGAAGGTACTGGTCCAATTTATTTAGGAAGTATCTCTTGAAGTTTCAGAAATGCTAGCTTGGACAACTGAAAAGTCACATCACATCTGGCATTCTGGGGGTTACTAAAACACCCCTTCTGGAGTAGAAGCTGCTGGAAGGCAGGCCTGAGCCATTCACCATGGACAGGCAGAGCAGCCCTGGCTATCACCACTGGTCTCTGGGGTCTTCATATCTTGCCATCTCATCCAGAGTTCTATGAAAGTTACCCAGGGTCTTCATGTCCTTCCTTAGAGCCCGAGTCGTGTGATGTGACAGGTCTCTCTCTCCACTGCCCCTTTCTGGTTTAAAAAAAATGGTGCTTGATGAGGGAAGGTAGGCTCTTCCCCAAGACTGATGAGGTATGGCTGCTAGATGCCTGCATGGGCAGAGGTGGATCTCTGCATCTTCCATTGGTGGCCAAGGATGGGTGTGGGAGAACCACACCTAGCACAAGCCTGGTACTCAGTAAATATTTGTTGAAATGAATGATAAGAGCATTGGTCCCCAAGCCAGAGAGCCAGAAGCCATCACCCAATGACCGCCCCTTCCTTCTGGTCTACAAGAGCTCTCAAGGCTGGGTCTGCCACTATTCTGTTTTGCCCAAGTGTGGCAGCACTGGGGAGGAGAGACTAGATAAAGGGCAGATGTCAGCAATCCTAAGGGCTTCCTCATGGGAGGGCATAAGGCTCCACTCATTGTCTTGTGACTTCCATCCCTGCTGAATGGGGCTGCAAGGCCAAGGCTCCTTAGGGGAGAGGTCCTTACCTCTGATCCACTTAGAGCAATAACCACTTTTTAAATGTAAAATAAAAAGACAAATGAAAAGGCACATCCTTGTCTTCTGGTAAATGCCCAAATGTTGCCCTCTTTTTCTGGCAATTGGCAGCAAGTCAGGATGTGTGGAGGAGGAAGTCAGTTCTCTCTCCATTTTGGCCTGCAGCTTCTTAGGGACATGCCTGCCAGCCAGCCAAGCTGGAGTTGGAAGGGAAATCTCAAACAGATGGGGGTGCACGTGTAGGAGAAGAAAATAGCTGCTCCATCATTCTATTACTGAGGCTCCCCCAAACCAAGCTTGGGCTGCCTCACTGGCTAGGTATGCAAGCTCAGTTTTTTAAAACAAAGGGTTTTCCCCTCTGGATGGGGCTGGGTGCTTTTCCTGGGCAAAGGAATGCAATTCTTGTTTCTCCCCAGGGTAAGGAAAGAAGTGAAGAGAAACCACAAAACTGCTTTCTGCAGCTCAGTAGTCACAGCGTGCTGTTCTAGGCTGTTAAAGGAACACCATTACGATCCCAAAAGCAGGCTGAAAGAGTAATGATGACATTAGCCAATGAGCAAAAATCAGTAAATGGGGCACCTCAAACATTGCTGTCCAGAGTTGGGAGGAGCTTGGAGAGAAAATGTCAGGTGAGCAGGGCTTAGTTGGCTGTTCTAGAAGGTTCTGAAAGCAGAGGGAAAGGTCTTAGTGGCTGCAGAGCAAAGTAGGAAACTGATTAGCACACTGAACTCTAAGCCAAACCTCAGAGAGGTACTTCCTAAGCCCTCTGTGCCTATCTAGTGCCAAATGATGGAGAAGCCCCCATGTCAGCACTAGGTATACTATAACTGTCATTGGGGCTCAGGGAGCTCTCCTGATGGAGGTTTCCTCTCTTCAACTTAATCTGTGTCTGTAGTACATCATAAAGGGTATGAGAGAAAAGGAGCAAACACTCTTGGCTTAGATAAAACTCCATTCCCTTTAATTACCTCCCTAAACCCCCAATTGTATAACAATTGAGCCTTCCCTGAATCCACTGTAGTTGCAAAGCCGAACCCCACACAGCTAGACTTGGAATGGGATCCCTTCACCATCACATAGATCCACAGACATTTCTCACAACTGTGGAAAGGCACAGACAGGTCTTTGAGACCAAGAGACCTTACTTGCAGACTACAGCAGGCCTATGAGAGAAATGCTGGTCTCAGAGGCAGGAGACCCTGCCTTGTAATCACCTAACAACTCAGGCAAGTTAATTCTCTGAGGTTAGGTCTTGCCGTCCTTATCTGCCAAAACCAGAGAATTTAGAAGATTCCCAGATTCCACCTACTTCCTACAATAGGAGCCAAGGTGCATCCTCCCAGGAGCATGAGGGAAAACCCAGGATCTGAGGGGAGGAGGACAGACTGGTGAGTGTTTCTATGAGGCAGAAGTCCTTTCCTCTTCCTACTCTTGTCCCCTAGTTTTTCAGAATGGGCCTTCTCAAGAATCAATTTTTAAGGGTTCTATTTAAACCCTTTACAAAAATGTGTAAAATCTCACCAACCCATTAACATGATGCTTTAGATTTGACTCTCTTTAAACCTATTTGATGATTACTGGAATTTGCTTTTATGAAGTAGCCTCCAAGAACAAATTGCTTCTATAAATGGGACACCCTGCTCACCTCCCTCCCTTGCCCAGCTCCAGCTCCATCAAGCTCCATTAGTACAAAATATTTCCAAACCTTCAAATGTGACTTGAAGTTAAGCTGAAGATCTTTGTATACAAATAGTTCCTGGCCAGGTATGGTGGCTTACATTACAAACATTACAAAGTGTAATCCCAGCACTTTGGGCATATCACTTGAGGCCTGGAGTTCAAGACCAGCCTGGCCAACATGGTGAAACACTGTCTCTACTAAAAATAAAAAATTAGCTGGGCATGTTGATGCATACTTGTAATCCCAGCTACTCAGGAGTCTGAGACATGAGAATTGCTTGGACCCAGGAGGCAGTGAGCCGAGATCGCGCCCCTGCACTTCAGCCTGGGCAACAGAGCAAGACTCTGTCTCAAAACAAACAGTTCCTTAGTTCCTTAGTGATACATTTCAGGACTATCACTTAAACTACTTTAAAGGTTATCCAAAATATTATATTCCACCCCCTTCTCAATGGTGCTGGGGAGGGCCAAATTTTCTGTCTATGGCATGTCCCAGTTGTCACGGGGGAGGACAGGTGTGAAGGACAAGGCAGGAGCTTGTTCACTTAGGAATTCCACCAATGACCAGCTGATACTTCCTGTGACAAGTGGAATTTTTTTTTCCCGACAGGTGCTCTGGCATACAAAGCAAGCATACCCTAGAATCAGCTTAGGAATAATTGTTTTCTCTTAGAAAAGTAGAACAATACTAAGAGAAGCGGGAAACTCCACTTTCTAGCTTTAAGTGATTGGCTTTTTTCTTCCTATAAAATCTCAAAATAGGCTAATTAGAGAATGACCCCAATCCTCTTGGAAAAAGTCCATTTCTCCTTTTCCTACTTTTCCATAATGTAAAATGAACAAAAGATCCTATCTACGCCTGACAGGAACAAAACAGGTATGCATAGGTTAAGGAGAGTACCTCAGATTGAGAGAAGAATGTCAAGTTGCTGAGTATTTAGCAAACTTATATTGAACCTTTTGCATGGACTCAATATTGTATTTTGTCTAGAAGATACAGAAAAAACTTACTGAACTGCAGACCAGAGAGCATGGCTAAACATGTTGCTACTTGTTTTCTTAGCATGAACTCAGATTTTTAAAGCACTGGCTAATATAGGTGTCAAGTTATTATTGCCTTCCCTTTTTTCCTTGCTTCTGGGTTCACAAAAGGGATCTAAGGAACGCTGTCTCCCACATCTACCCACACTTATCCAACCTTCACCCAGTTTCTAGGAGCAGCAGTTTCTGGAGAAATTGGGTTATGAACAGCCATCAATTCTGTACCGCTGATTCTGGTTTCTTAAATCCCCTTTAAAGAGAGAATGCTCTAGGACAGCATGGCTTCTTTCTTAATCAGTGCTAGTTCTGAAGAAGCAGAGACAGGGAGGTCAACCACACAGCCATGGGAAGGAACAAAAGGCAATGCCTGCCTGATTAGGGCTGAGCCATCTTCCCCCTCTGCAAAAACTAAGGCATAATGATATTTCAGGCTCTCCCTATGTCAGGCTCCTGACATGCACCATATGTAGCTGCAAATCCCAATCATCAACATTTCTTAACTGCTAGAACACCTTTCTCAACACTGTAATTTACCTTCAAAAGAATAGGGAGCAAGCACCCTCGCCTTCCCAGAACCACATTCTACTAACTGCCGCCCCCCTCCCCACCCCACTAACCTACCTACGCAAAGGAAGAAGGCAAATAACCCTCCAACGAAGCCTACAACAGACTGCCACAGTACATAAGTCACTGACAAGAACTTTTATTTCTTTTTAATGACATTAAACACAACTGCTATAAGGGAAAAAACATGATAAAGAGGAGGCACCAAACTTCAGTTTTATAACTGAAACTGACAACGCAAGTAAATCAGGGCCTGCATTAGAAACTACAGGTTATTTCAGGCTCCTTACTTGGAAGTAAACAATGTAAACAGCATATTTTTACTCTGCTTTGTCAAGACCCATGTGTGGGAATGTCATCGATGAAGAAAGCAGTTAAATGCACATAATACTTACTTAAAAAAAATACAGCCAGAATTCCATATGAAATACTAGACTTAGAGGCCAACACCAAATATAAGAGATATGCAGCTTTGAAAAGAGATTAAGACTCCAGATTCTACCCACTACCATCTTTAAGGCGAACATGCCAGATAATGAGTTTTCTTTGGCTTGGTTTTTTCTTCTTAAAGAATACCATGTTAACCACTAGATAACAGCTCTCTCCTCCCCCAGTCCAACAGATTTAATTAAGCTGCTAAAGCTTTGGAAAAACAGAATTATTTGAGCTAAGAGGAAATGTGATTGTCACATTTTCTAGTTAACTTGTCACTCATTTGATTTGGCAAAAGCAGTGCTCCTATTACACATTCAGTCTTAAAACCCCATGTACCAGGAGGGCAAGAACATGAGTCTCAGATTTTTGCCCAAGCAAAATGCTGTCCCTTCACTCCTTGGGTTTTCTGAAGGAAACTAGACAGCTGCAATGCTAGCTATTCCAACTACATTTAATTTTAACTATGCTATGGTCCCAAAGGTAGATGTTTGCCATGTCCCATGTTTCACTCCACCAAGCTAATTTAGGGCGACCTGGAGAAGTGACCAATGTAGTAAATGCCAAGTAGGCTAACTAAAATAATAGATTTTTGACTACTGTCTTTGAAGAGAACTTCTTTGCATTTAACCAAATTTAAACCAAATGTTCAAGGAAAAGCAAATCCTTGACTGGATAAAAACAGTAAACACTTAGGGACATTCACCCAAATTTATTGTTGGCTTAAATGACCAAGCTTTTCCCAAGTCAGTTTCTAAAGTGGGGTATGATGTTTTGAATGTGTTACTCACATACAAAGATGGGATTGATGAAATCACAAAACCAGAGTCTATAGCATCTATGAACAACCTTCACAGAGAACAACATCACAAATGCCAGACTGCAAAAACTTCCCAAAATGATGTCTAGAGCTATGTATAAAGAGAAAATAACCAATTCCTAAGACATCCATTAAGACAGATGCAGCTGAGCGTGGTGGTTCATGCCTGTAATCCCAGCACTTTGGGAGGCTGAGGCGGGTGGATCACATGAGTTCAGGAGTTTGAGACCAGCCTGGCCAACATGATGAAATCCCATCTCTTCTAAAAATACAAAAACTAGCTAGGCATGGTGGCAGGTACCTGTAATCCCAGCTACTTGGGAGGCTGAGGCAGGAGAATTGCTTGAACCCAGGAGGCAGAGGTTGCAGTGAGTTGAGACTGCACCATTGCACTCTAGCTGGGTGACAAGAGTAAAACTCTGTTTAAAAAAAAAAAAAAAAAAAAAGACAGATGCATACTCCGTCAACTTTGGTTAGAATACCAAACCTTAAGATCAGGTAATGCTTTTGTGCATAGGCTTAGTCACAACTATATTACATGTACTTTAGCATTTCAGGGGCTTGACCAAATGAAATGGTAACATACAGGGTCTAAAGACACCTCTTCTTAACTGATAATAGAGACAAAAGAGTGCCATTCCACACTCTCCCAGAGAATGGAGGCTCCGTAACTAACACTCATACTTAAAGCTGGGGTTTAGCAGATAAAACTAAATACCAACTGATACCACAATAGCACTGGCTTACCCTAGAGTCAAGACTCTGGGTGGGCAGCTCTTCAATAAAGAGAGCAAGGAGGCCATCCTGAAGAGGTGCATCCATGTCTAACAGGATACAAGAATACTGCCACTAGAATCCTAACAAGTAGAGTGGTCACTGGGGGGTAAAAAGAAAAAGGAAAATCCTTGAAGAAGGGCAAAGGAGACAATCAGTCTCAAGACTACAAGGTATTAGTCATTGAGTCTTCTGTCAAAGATATATAAGATTTGTAAACACTATTGTGCAAAATAAGTTTGATAAAGAAAAAATGCCCCCCCAACAACAAAAAAAATCAAGGCAGCTAGTACATACAGAAAGAAGAGGGTTTACTATTTTAACTTGTCCTTTCAAAAGGGATTTTTCTCCTGCTCCATCCCACTTATAATGTCCTGGATTGCCAACTTTAAAATACTGACAGGTATTCAGAGGATTCAAATAAAAAAGTAAGAGTAACTTATATCCATTTACAAGTCAACTAATACTGGCTCACAGCCTGGTAAAGAATCTCTTCCTTATGGGAGATTGAACAATGATTTCTTTTAGGTACCAGAAGTAGACTTTGCCTCTGCAGAGAGGTGAGTCTTTTGCTTCAGCCTGGGTGTTTTGGCTTAATGCTGGCTTTCAGGAGGCAGCTACCTTCAATTTAAATTAAAAAACAAAAAAACTACACCAACCAAACACTTGCTTAAACACACAGACACACATATATATACACACACACACACACAAAATCAGGAGGGACTTCATACAAAAAAATTCAAGTTAGCAATGGGCATTTCCAAAAGGTGACGAGTTTTTTAAATAAAAATCTTGTGAAAAATAAAATTCAAAATCTGCAAAGCACAAAACAGCAAAAGAACACGAAATGCTGCTCCAAGCAGGACCCTGGATAGGGACCTTCATTGCTGATGGGTTGAGACAAATCAACTGTATGAGAAGTCTGGGAGACGTTGGAACCGATGGTGGCTTCGCATGTTCCTGTCAACCCACTGAGTCAGACTGTATCTTTGCAGATGTTTCTGTCGGCGGGCATAGTTTCTATCAAGAGAGGGAGAATACAAACAGGAAAGATATTTCAACTGGAATGGCTATTTGTATACAAAAAAAGGCCAGCACAACAATTTTAAGGAAAATCTTTACTTTTGGAAATTAGATATTAATTTTATAGTTCTCACAATTTTAGAAATTTTATACTATTTATTTTTTATACTATTTTATTTATGTGAACACCACACCATAAGTACTATTTCTTTCCAACTCCCAAAGCCACCTAATTCCCATAGGTATTATGGTAATATGCCACATACACAGTATTCTAAGGAAAACTAATGTAGAATAATGTTTAAGTATGAAAAAAAAAAAAAACATTTTCTTCCTGGAAGAATTTAGGATAGGATTTATATTTCATTGTTTGCATCAGACCTGTACCTCCAAAAGGACCTTATTGTCTGACACAGCTCAAGGTTGCTCAGGACACAGCAGTTAAAATTAGAATAAATTCCCAGAGAGGTAGGTCATCATGTGAGTATCACATTGCAAGTTTTGAGACTGAAAAATTAATAGCACAGACTCAAAGTAAAGTTTCTTAAGAGTCTCTTTTAGTTATGTGCTGGCTGGGGTTCTGAGCAAGATGCTCTGAGATAATTTGATCCCATTTTCAACTCTGAAAATGCTCCTAATAACAATCTAGGAAGCTTTCTAAAGATATGGATTCTAAAATAAAAATTAAAAAAAAAAAAACAAAAAAAAAAACCAGATATGGATTTTTTTTTTTTTTTAAGATGGGGTTTCACCATAATGGCCAGGCTGGAACTCATGACCTCAGGTGATCCACCTGCCTCAGCCTTCCAAGGTGCTAGGATTACAGGTGTGAGCCACCACGCCTGGCCAGATAGGGATTCTTGACCTCTACCTCTTCCCAGACTTAATGACTTAGAATGCCTGGAATCAGGACCCGAAAATCTGTATTTTTACCTATCTCCACAGGTGATTATGAGTAGTAGCAAGGGTTGCAAATAATTGTAACAGTACCTGACATTTATCTAGCCCTATATGCAAGTATTTGCTGAATGCTTTAAATATCTCTCCTCACTTAATACTGCAACAATCCTACCAGTATTTTCATTAACTTCTTGTATAGGTAAGGAAATTAAGCCTCAGGTTAATAACTTACCCAAGGTTATGCAGTAGAGTTAAGTAGAAGATCCTGGATTTAAACTCACATCTCACTCCAGAATTTATCTAATAACAATTATACTACACTGCCTTTCCTTCTGAGAAATGCTATAATTTTGACAACTACGGAGGGAACGTGAGTGTAAAGACCCTGAAGCAAGGGAAGAGTATTAGGAGATGAAGTTGGTGAGCACAGGCCAAAGCATACAGGCCTTTGTAGGGGATTATGAGAATGGGAAGATGTGAGATGGGAAGCCACTGGAAAACACTGAGCAAATCTGACTTATGCTTTAAAAGAATCTCCTTGGCTGCTGAGTTGTGAACAGTGCATTGGCAAGGGGAGAAGCAGGGACGGCATTTAGGAGACTGCAACAATCCAGGTGAAATGTTGCAATTGTCACTTGCAACAATCCAGGTGAAAATGTGAGAAATAGTTAGGCTTTGGATATACAGCTGACCCTCCACATCTGTGGGTTCTGATTCCATGGATTTAACAAACTATGGGTTGAAAATATTCAAAGAAAAAAAAAAATAGATGGTTTCATCTGTACTGAACATGTCCAGACTTTCCTTGTCATTATTTCCTAAACAATACAGTATAACTATCTGCATAGCATTTATACTGTATTAGGTATCATAAGTAATCCAGAGATGATTAAAAGTATATGGAAAGATGTGCACAGGTTATGCAAATACTATGGCATTTTATATAAGGAACGTGGCATCTGTGAATTTTGCTATCTAAAGAGAGTCCTGGAACTAATCCCTCATGAATACCAACGACAACTGTATATGCAGAGCCTATGGGATTGAATATGGGGTGAGAGAGAAAAGAGTAAAGGATGATTCCAAGGTTTTTGAGTAGCTGAATCAGAATAACTAAATAAATTGGTACAGCCACCCTGCAACAAGAATCCAGAAGACTGTAATATTAAATTTGAGTCTTAAAAAACAATCTCAGAAGATTTCAGAATTAGAAAGGTCCTTCCTTTGACACCACGTTGCAAAGCTAGTATTGGACCTCAGGTTTCCTGAATTTCAGTCCATGTTTTTTTTTTTTTGAGAGAGAGGGTCTTGCCCTGCCCAGGCTAGAGTGCAGTGGCACAATCACTGCTTGCCACAGCCTCAAGCTTCTAGACTTCAAGCAATCCTCCTCTCTTAGGCACTCTCAGGGACTACAGGCACACACCACCATGGCCAGCTAAGTTTTTGTAGTGAAGGGTCTCACCATGTTGGCCAGGCTGGCCTTGAACTCTTGGGCTCAAGCAGTCCTCCCACTTTGGCCTCCCAAAGTGCTGGAATCACAGGCATGAGCTACTGTGCTCAGCCTCAGTCCAGTTCTTATTCCATTAGGCTGCGTCGCTTTTATTCCCCCCTCACCTCTTAAACAATTCCAACCCCTAATCCCCACTATATTCCTCCTGCAGCCAAATTCCACCCTTTCTTTTTTTTCAGATGGAATCTCACTCTGCCACTCAGGCTGGAGTACAGTGGCATCATCTCGGCTCACTGCAATCTCCACCACTGGGCTTCAAGCAATTCTCCTGCCTCAGCCTCCTGAGTAGTTGGTACTATATACCCTCACCACCACACCCGGCTAATTTTTGTATTTTAAGTAGATACGGAGTTTTCACCATGTTGGCCAGGCCGCTCTCAAACTCCTGACTTCAAGCGACCTACCCACCTTGGCCTCCCAAAGTGCTGAGATTATAGGTGTGAGCTACCATAACCAGCCATTCTATTCTTTTCCTCCTTTTTTTTTTTTGAGACAAAGTTTCGTTCTTGTTGCCCAGGCTGAAGTGCAATGGCATGATCTCGGCTCACAGCAACCTCCACCTCCCAGGTTCAAACGATTCTCCTGCCTCAGCTTCCCGAGTAGCTGGGATTATGGGCATGTGCTACCACGCCCGGCTAATTCTGTATTTTTAGTAGAGACGGGGTTTCTCCATGTTGGTCAGGCTGGTCTCAAACTCCTGACCTCCAATGATCCGCCTACCTTGGCCTCCCAAAGTGCTAAGATTACAGGCGTTAGCCACCATGCTCTGCCCCTTCTCTTCCTTCTTCTAATCGCACTCACCGTGTAGTGAGGTCTGAAGGATGCTGCCATTTTGAGTGTTGCATATGATGAACTTGATCCATCAAGGCATATAGCTCCCCGGAGATACCTGTGATACAGAGGGATCAGTGGTTAGGAAATAGCTGAATGAACTACTATGTCAGCTAAGGTCAAAGTACGTGCTTTCAGTGAAAGAGAAAATGGGCACTGTTCTCAACAATATATACTTATGATTATCACGAGCAGTCAGCACAAAAACTATAAACCAGAATGGGGAGATTGCTCTTGGAGGATGAAGGTGAAGCAATAATGGCAGCCACCATTCATTCATTCAACACTTAGCTCCTACAATAATACGAAGAACTTCACTTGTCCCTAGGAATATGGCAGTGAACAAGACACTGCCTCAATGAAGTTTACATGGGAGACAGATGATTCCAAAGTGGTATGATAAATGCAGTGATAGAGAAATATAGACTGCTATAGAGACTGCAGGGTGAGGGTTAGGGAAATCCCTCTCCAGGGGGAGTAACTATAGCAGGGATCTAAAGGATGTATAAAAGCTAGTGAGGTAAAGAGGGGTAGGAGGTTGGATGTCCAAGAGAAAACAGTTAATGCAAAGCCCCAGAGACAAAAAAATAGCAAATACACTAAAGAAACAAGAGAAAGTTAGAACAGATGGAGGTGGGCGCTCTTTGCTAACAAGTAAAATTGCTAGAGGCAATTTCTCAAACACCTGGGATCCTGGCAATATACTAGGCACTTTACATTATTATTTTACTTAATTCTAAAAAAAATCTTATCTGGAGATAGATGTTGTATCATTTCAAAGATGGGAAACTGTGGCTCAGGGAGGTGAACTTGCCTGAAATTATTACTATTATTTTTTGAGACAGAGTCTCACTCTGTGCCCAGACTGGAGTGCAGTGGTGCAATCTCAGCTCACTGCAATCTCTGTCTCCCAGGTTCGAGCGAGTCTCCTGCCTCAGCCTCTGGAATACCTGGGACTACAGGCGCCTACCACCATGCCCAGCTAACTTTTGTATTTTTACTAGAGATGAGGTTTCACTATTTTGGCCAGGCTGGTCTCGAACTCCTGACCTCAAACAATCCACCCACCTCGGCCTCCCAAAGTGCTGGAATTACATACATGAGCCACCATGCCTGGCCCTGAAATTCTTGATAACCCAGGATTCAACTACCTCCTGCATGACTCCATGTCCTTGCCACTATGCAAAATAATGCTAATTTTGCACTCAAGGATTTAGACTTCCGCTAAATCTCAATAGAAGCAGAAATAAAACACTAGTTAGGAAATAATATGCCTAGACCAGTAGTTTATAAATTGTAACATACATTATAATCAACTGGAGGTATTATAAAGCAGATTGTTGGGCCTAGACTCCACACTTTCTGATTATACATAATCAGAAAACTACAGATCTGGGCAGGGCCTGAGAATTCGCATTTTGAGCAAATTCCCAAGTGATGCTCATGCCGGTGGTCTAAGAACCACATTTTTTGCTTTTTGGTTTTTTTGTTTTGTTTTTGTGAGATGGAGTCTCACTGTTACCCAGGCCGGAGTGCAGTGGTACGATGTCAGCTCACTACAACCTCCTCCTCCAAGGTTCAAGTGATTCTCCTGCCTCAGTCTCCTAAGTAGCTGGGATTACAAGAGCCTGCCACTACACCCGGCTAATTTTTATATGTTTAGTAGAGACAGGGTTTCACCATGTTGGCCAGGCTGGTCTCAAACTCCTCACCCAGCTGAGAACCACACTTTGAAAACCACTGCCCTAGACCGTGGAGACTTTACTTTCAGCTAGTTTACATGTTTTTCATTATTATCTACTGTGCTTTCAGGAACCAAGAGCAGTCTCACTAGGCTCATATTGTCAAGTTCCAGTAAAAGTAACGTAACTTTTTTTTTTTTTTTTTTTGAGATGGAGTTTCACTCTTGTTACCCAGGCTGGAGTGCAATGGCCCGATCTCAGCTCACCACAACCTCCGCCTCCTGGGTTCAGGCAATTCTCCTGCCTCAGCCTCCTGAGTAGCTGGGACTACAGGCACGTGCCACCATGCCCAGCTAATGTTTTGTATTTTTAGTAGAGACGGAGTTTCACCATGTTGACCAGGATGGTCTTGATCTCTTGACCTCGTGATCCACCCGCCTTGGCTCCCAAAGTGCTGGGATTACAGGCTTGAACCACCGCGCCCGGCAGTAACGTAACTTTTAGAACAAAATTTATTTGAAGCTTCAAAAAGCAGAGCTTTGTAGAAAAAGTATATCATATATTTTGGAGTTAGGCAGAGTTGAGTTAAAATTCCAATCCATCAATTAGCTCTGTGACCCTGGGCAAATTATTTCACTTCTTCAGGCCTCACTACTCATCTATGAAAAGTGGATAATACAATTTAGCTTGAAGTTCAGTTTGAGGAATATTATACATAAAAGACCTAGCACACTGCTGTGGCACACAGCATGTGTGCAGTGAGCAGTAGCTACTATGGTGTTAGTGCCTCAGGCCTATGTTAGCTTGCAAAGACTCTGCAAATCCTGTGAAATCACCTTCTAATTTATTTTAATTAAATTTATTTTAATTAAATTTAAAATTTAAATTTTACTTCTAATTTGTAATGAAAAATGTTTATTAAATGGATCCATCTGCACATAAACTATGACATTTTATGGCACTCAAGTATTTTTCTTTTTCTTTTTTTTGAGTCGGAGTTTCGCTCTTGTTACCCAGGCTGGAGTGCAATGGCACGATCTCCGCTCACCGCAGCCTCCGCCTCCTGGGTTCAGGCAATTCTCCTGCCTCAGCCTCCTGAGTAGCTGGGATTACAGGCACGTGCCACCATGCCCAGCTGACTTTTTGTATTTTTAGTAGAGACGGAGTTTCACCATGTTGACCAGGATGGTCTCGATCTCTTGACCTTGTGATCCACCCGCCTCGGCCTCCCAAAGTGCTGGGATTACAAGTGTGAGCCACTGCGCCCGGCTAAGTATTTTTCAAACCATAGTAAGATACCACTTTTTAGGAAAACTTTATAGATCACATTAAAATTAAAATTTTCTCTGTTCAAAAAGCATGACCAGACTGGGCGCAGTGACTCACGCCTATAATCCCAGCACTTTGGGAGGCCGAGGCAGGTGGATCACGAGGTCAAGAGATTGAGACCATCCTGGTCAACAAGGTGAAACCCTGTCTCTACTAAAAATACAAAAATTAGCTGGGCATAGTGGCGCGCCTGTAGTCCCAGCTACTCGGGAGGCTGAGGCAGAAGAATTGCTTGAACCCAGGAGGCGGAGGTTGTGGTAAGCCAAGATCGCGCCATTGCACTCCAGCCTGGGTAACAAGAGCGAAACTCCATCTCAAAAAAAAAAGCATGACCAAATGAAAGATAAATGACAAAATGAAAAATATATTTGAAATGGACAGTTTAATGTCCTTTTTCTACAAAGTCTCTTAAAAAAAAGGTAAAGAGCATGAATAGATAACTCACAAAATTATTACAAATGATCAATAAACATGATAAAAAGAATGTTCAATCTCACTAATATGGAAAGAAAGGAATTACTGTCACTCCTTGAGAAGAAAATACATATCGGAAATGAATTTCCTTGTGAAGGAAGTAGCTCTTGATCAGAAACTTCCTTACCTGCTGGATTTGTCAAGCTAAAATCAAAGGTCTGAATACCCCACTTTTTTTTTTTTTTTTTGAGACGGAGTCTCACTCTGTGACCCAGGCTGGAGTGCAGTGGTGCAATCTTGGCTCACTGTAACCTCTGCTCCCCAGATTCAAGCGATTCTCCTGCCTCAGCCTCCTGAGTAATTGGGACTACAGGCACACACCAGCACGTCCGGCTTTTTTTTTTTTTGGAGACGGAGTCTTCCTCTGTCTCGCAGGCTAGATAGAGTGCAATGATGAGATCTCAGTTCACTGTAACCTCCACGTCCTAGGTTCAAGCAATTCTCCTGCCTCAGCTTCCGAGTAGCTAGGATTACAGGTGCCCGCCACCGTGCCTAAATTTTGTATTTTTTAGTAGGGACAGGGTTTCACTATGTTGGCCAGGTTGGTCTTGAACTCCTGACTTCGTGATCCACCTGCCTCGGCCTCTCAAAGTGCTGGGATTACAGGCGTGAGCCACTGCACCTGGCCCCGGCTAATTTCTGAATTATTAGTAGAGACGGGGTTTCACCACATTGGCCAGGCTGGTTTCAAACTCCTGACCTTGTGATCCACCTGTCTCAGCCTCCTAAAGTGCTGGGATTACAGGCGTGAGCCACCTTGCCCGGCCCAATACCCCACTTTCACATAGCTAGCATTCCACTCCCTGTGGCCACCCAAAAAGGACATTTCAATGGGAGGTGGGTCAGGGGAGAATCAGCTTTATAAAAATTTTAAGGTATATTTTTCCTGCCAAAGCATAATAAAGAAGAGTTAATAATATAAGGAAATTCTGTGTCCATCAAAATGAAACCACAAGATTATCTACAGAGGGCTGGGTGTGGTGGCTCATGCTTGTAATCTCAGTACTTTGGGAGGCCAAGGAGGATCAATCACCTGAGGTTAGGAGTTTGAAACCAGCCTCACCAATGTGGTGAAATCCCGTCTCTACTAAAAATACAAAAATTAGCCAGGTGTGGTGGCACATGCCTGTAATCCCAGCTACTCGAGAGGCTGAGGCAGGAGAATCGCTTGAACCCGGGAGGCACAGGTTGCAGTGAGCCAAGATTGCGCCACTGGCACTCCAGCCTGGGCGATAGAGTGAGACTTTGTCTCAAAACAAAACAAAAAGAAGATTATCTATAGAAGGTGTCCTTCAGCTCACTCACCTCTTATCCCTTGCATTTTAGAAAATGAATCTGGCAATGGAGATTATAAACATATCTATTCATGTTAAATGATGAGAAGAATAGCCAGTTAAGCCAAAAGAGCCTAATATTAAAATATTTAACCGCTAGGAGTCAAAAAGCAGCAGCAATTTAAATAACACTATATATCAAGCTTGTTTAAATAAATAAATAAAGGAACTGTCCTATGTGCTTTCTATATATCAACTCATTTATTCTTTACAACAATCCTATAAGGTATTTTCCCCAT